GTCTCTCTGCGGTAGACCTATCTATTTTGCCAGACAGAGAGGTATAATAATACGAAAATTTCATTAAATAAAAAAAAAGCGCAGAACGCTTATTGCGCATGACGAGACAAAACGTACCAAACTATGTTAGACTTACGTATAGCAGCCCGTCCTTCTTTTTTGCATGGGATAAAAAGGGAAGGAGGAGGACCGTGTGACGTGCAACGTATTTGTCAATCAAAAACTCAAACAACTTCATACCTATGATGCGTTCTTGAAAATCGATCACTTGTCAAGCTACGTCGAGTTGAATATCAACCGTACTACTCCTTGTCAGACCACAAGCAATGAACATGGACAAAGAAATACCTAGCGTAAGGTTTAAAAGCAGCATAGTTAATTATGCCAAACCGACACCTGGGGAGGGGGGGATTCTCATCCTCTAGTCGCAACCTATCGTCCCGACTCATCCGTAGAAAGGCAATGGGATGGGATAGTCGGGACGATAGGTTGCGACTATAGAGGATGAGAATCCTCCATCTGTACTAGTCGATTGAAAGGCATTGCCTCGTGTTGCGCGCGCATACCAGGTAAAAATAGATAGGTCTATCCCGCGCAAAACTAAATCTAACCTGAAAGTCATTAAAGTCAGAAACGTCAAAACAATGTTGCCACACGTCGGACACCAAAACTAGAAACCATTGCCAACTGCTGCAACATTGCCAATAGTATCAATATAAGACATAAATACTATAAATAGTCTTACACTTGAGTCATATTTTTAATACTTGTATATCATTGTAAAACTAGCGAATCAAGACTTTTGGTTATACCGCTGAAAAATAAAGTTTCCAGTTTTCATGATAAGATTTTCCTGTGACTAATATTAGAAAGTTCACTCGAATAAAAAGGTTATTTTCCATTTTGCATCGAAAATTCATTCAGAAATATTCCCTGGAAAATTCCTGTGATTCAATAACGGTTTTTTTCTTTTCGTTTCTAGTGCCGTCACTCTTGTCAACTAATAGAACAAGCAAATTTATCCTTGGAAACGGTGTCGTTCGGGAAATTTTATTACTTTTCCTACTGAAGGGCCTTCTTTGATCATGGGCCTTTTAATAAAAACCCGAGTGAAAACCCATTCGGGAAATGCATGAATAGGCAGAATATATCCCAATAAATATGAGCATGAAAGAGAGGATCTGCAGTAAGGCGGATAGTCATTTCTCCCATTTTTGAATAATTTATGGATCTGGGTGCGCAGATGGCTAATGGGTTTTCAAAGGGAAAGAGATGAATGGGTTTAATTTTTAATTAATCCGAACATATTACAAATTTTCTATTTGGTGCTTGGTAGGATGTTTCTATTTAATATAACTTGCTCCAGTTAAAGCCTTGTGCAGCACTGTGAATGATGATTTGGAAATGTATGTAAGCTGGTTGTCTCACAATAAATTGAAAATAAATATAGAAAAAACCAACTTTATGATAATTAAACAAAAAAATAAACAACTACAGGAAATAGATATAAAAATTAACAACGTTATGCTTAATGAGGTTCAATATATGAGATATTTGGGGTTAGTTATTGTAACAATCTAAACTGGTCAGAACATATAAAGCAGATCTCTGACAAAGTAACAGGAATGATACCGGTAATATAACAAAAAAACTAGATACAGTGTGTACAATGCCTTTTTCCTCTCTCATTTTCGATATTTGCTGCCGATATGGGGAACATGCGGAAAGACAATGTTTAATGCAATTCAAATAATACAAAACAAAATTCTGAAAGTTCTGTTCAAATATGATAGACTAACCTGTACAGAAACTTTATATAGAGAATTAAAAATTTCAAAGCTTGATAAAATATTGGAAGTGGAACAAATTAAACTTATATACAAGATCATAAATAAAACACAAAAGTCTAATATAAATATTGTATTTTCAAATAATGTTCATAGTTATGATACTAGATCGCAGGAAAATATTTACCAGATAGCAGTAAGAACAAAAATAGGTTTAAGTAATCCTGTAATACAAGCAAGTAAAGCATACAATCAAATACCGGAAAATATTAGGAACATAAAAAATTATAAATTATTCATAAAGCAAGTAAAGTTAAATTTAGAAATACCTATTATATAATGGTGAAATACAATATTATAGAATTCGTCCAGCACTGTAGCATAGTTTTAATTGTAGTATTCTCGGGGCCAGAGCTTCAAGCACTGTTTAGAGAATTATTAAATTATTGTTATAAAAAAATTTGATAAATAAATAAAGCATATTTCAAAAAAAAAAAAAATAGTAATACATAATATTTGGTTTTTTGATTCACAGTTTCAATTTCAATTACCAATAATCAAAAAACGACGAAAAGTTTTATAATATTGCGAGGCTCAAGATAATAATAACCTTCTTTCTTTGGATCCAAACTGGCACAGAGAAGTTGGAATCATTTTGCTCTCGATGTCGGTCAAACATCTTGACCTAGTTTCAAGTAGGAAACTCTATAATCACCAAAATTGGATATTTGTTTGTGTTTGAACAGACCACATTTACCTAAACAAAGCTCTCGGGTGTTTTAGTTATTGTCTTGTTTATTTCTTTGCTACATTAATGATATAAGCTACTCCGTTAATTGTGACTTCCTGAATCTTTTTGCTGATGACACTATATTATCTGTTTCAAGTAAAAATCTAGATGATGCAATAAATCGAATGAACAGCTACCTTGCCAAAATTTTACTGTACTTTAACACAAATAAGGTGAAACTTAACTCAGATAAATCGAAGGCTATGCTTATTACAACGCCCTATAGGTAGAGATGTAAGTTTTCATGAAATTTTCAAATTTGAAACTTTTCATGAAAAGTTGAAACTTTTCAATTTTTTTTTGAAAAGTTAAGTACAGGAAGAATAGGGCCTCTAAAATTATTTTTTCGAAATGATAGGTATTCAATAAATTGAATTAATGAATAGTATAATTTTTATCAATTATTTCTTTCCATTAAATCACAATATTGCGGTTGAGGATTGAGGAAATAAAAAAAATTGCGTACCTAATAGTGAAAAAATCTGTTTTTCTATGACCATCAAAAAATAAACAACTTTTGTCATAATTTACCTTGGCCGAAAACGTCATATTCGTCACTAGTGATAAAATATCCCATAACATTAACTTTCGTCACTAGTGACGCAAGTGAATGATTAAAATTTCACATGTTAAATACATTTTTTCAAATCCAATTATATTTCAATTCTGTGGAGCACCACGAAAAAACATAGTTCATAACAAAATTATGTAAATATGTGCATAACGTCTCTAAATAGTCGTGTATGCGCAAGCTCACTATTAGTGTATGGTTAGATCAACAATGGGTTTTTTTGTGACTAGAGTACTATTCCTTTGGGTACGGAGAATTGAATATTTTCAGTAATAAATAGACCATCACTCAAATGACTGTGTTTCATTTATAAAGTGCGTTTTTTTTTTTAAAGATAATTCCCCAAGTCAAAAATTTAGTAACTATGTTGGCAACATACAACTTTTCTCCATAAAAAATTTGGAAGCATTGACAATTTTACATTGTATTGCCACCATAATGTCATTTTGACTTTTATCTTTAAAAAAAAAACACACTTTAGTATATTACAATTTTGCTTTATATAATGTAATAAAAGCAAAATATAAGTATAAAATTAATTAAAAACGAGAACTTTTCATAGATGGCGTCAGCTATCAAACCAAGTAGGAACCCTTGTAAAAAAAACATAAGTTTAACAGCAAAAATCAAAACATGGTCTTAGAAAAAGTATAGTGTTTTACTTGTCAAAAATCATTTTTTGCAACTTGAAAACAACTGTTTTCTCGTTGCGAAAAATGCTGTTTTCGTCACTCGTTAATTATTCTTTTGCCCACGACCATGCCATCCGTTTTCGTTTTAACAAACCTGGGACAAAGTCACAGAATGCATGATTCATGATCTTTAAACTTTTCACGAAATTTTGAAAAGTTTTGAACTGTCTTGAAACTTTTCAATGAAATGAAATTTTATTGAAACTTTTCAGGTGAAACTTTTCACACTCACATCTCTACCTATAGGCATAAACAAATAAATGTTAATTCATTAAATTTGAATATTAATAATGAAAAAATTGAATTTGTTAGAGAATTTAAATACTTGGGTTTTATGATTGATTGTTTAATGCACATTTCCAATATATTTATAGAAAGATATCAAAACAACTTTACTTCTTCTCCAGAATATCTCAAAAATTATCCATGTCCTCGAAAATTACAGTATATAACAGTATAATACAACCTCATTTTGGTTTTTGTAGCAGCATACTATATGCATTTGATTTAAACAAAAAAACAGCTCTACAGAAACTGCAGAATAGAGGAATGAGAGTTATTCTCAAATGCAATAGGTACACTGGAATCCAGCTGATGTTAAATACTCTACAGTGGCTTTCAGTACAAAAAAGAATGTTTCGTAATGCTATGATTTTTATTTATAAAATATTGAATAATCTCCTACCACCATATCTTGAGGAATTTGTTGCATTCAGATATGATATACACAATCACTTAACTAGAAGTTATACAAATCGTAGTTTCCACATTCCAAGGTGCAACCTTTCAAGCACGAACAAAATGCTTTTTTATAAAGGAATAGATGATTACAACAAATTACCTCCTCTTGTTAAGGACTCTAGTTCCCTAAATGTATTTAAAAGACGGCTGAGTGAATACATTGTAGCCATGTAATTATTATTTCATGATTGAATAGTGGGTAGTAACTAAATGTGATTTGGAGAAGGCTGTGTAAGATTTTTGGTTAGATTCTAATTTCCTAATTTTAAGTTATTTCTGTTTTTGTTAATTTTGTCTTTTAAAAAAAAATGTTGTTTATATTAGGGTTTCCTATTGAAATTGAATAAATTGATTGATTGTCTGCGACTGCTGGGAAAATATTAAAAAGCTGATTTTCTGATGTTTTTTTTTAATTTCAGAGACTAAACAGGAACTGGAAGACCTAATGAGCGACATAAAGAAATCTGCCAATAAAGTTCGTGCCAAGTTAAAGGGTAAGTAGATTTCCTTTCGGTTTTATTAGACTGTAATGAGAAATTCAATCGCTGCCACATATTGACCAAGCTCCTTAGCGATTTTTTCAGTGCCCGTGACAATTTTGTCGAAGGTAATAAATAACACTCCCAGACTATTTGTTTGAATTTTATTCCAATCAATTTCGGATTATCTGCTATTCTAGACTATTTGTTTAGCTAGTTGATATGTCTCTCCTAGTTGACGTTTCATCGATGTCCCAGTTTCCATTTTCATAGGGTAGGTATCAAAAACTGTCAGAGAAATGTGTCTAGAATACAAGTTGAAACATTGATCCATGCTTCTGTTTTTGAATAAGTTTTCGCAACGATCTGGGCCGAGGTTCTATTCTCAATTCCTGCAGTCGGTGTTCTGAAACCCTGCACTCAATATATTGCTCTTCAAAATTGATGTGAAAATGGATGTTATGCATGAACTAGTTTTGGCTTGGCATTCGGCAATAGTCGAACACCAAATCGTTGATCTTCTTGATGATCTTGTATAGACCCTCCCACAGTCTTGTAATTTAGGGCTAGTCCCTTCTGTATTTATGGCTGTTCCAACTAGATGGTGTTCAACTGCTGTAGCTTTTTTAGTCTCATCTTCATTGGCGAGACATTGTCCATTTCTAGCAAAATCGTGAACAATTCTTCTTCTCTCCTAAAGCATACATGATCTACCAGAAGCTTAATTTCTCTTCCAATCAACAACATTGGTGTAAAGCAGGTTAATTTATGCTAAGAGCCTTTATAAGTCGAAGGAAACAGAGGCACCGGTTTATCTGATGGCTTCGCTTATCTTGAATTCATAATAGTTCAGTTCAATTAACAATTTGTATTCCTATATATATATATATATTTCTTTTCAAAACAGTTATAGAGCAAGGCATAGATAATGAAGAAACGAACAACAAAAATTCCGCCGATCTCAGGATACGAAAAATTCAACAGTCGACGCTGTCCAGGAAGTTTGTCGAGGTGATGACGGAGTATAATAGGACACAGACCGATTATAGGGAGCGATGTAAAGCCAGGATAATGAGACAGTTAGAAATCAGTAAGTAACATTTTACCTTCTGTCTGATAGGGCTAAATAGATTTGAGTGGAAATTCAGTTATCGTCTATTCACCTTTGAATAAAAATTTAACTTTTTTTTGTTTAGCGGGAAGAACGACAACTAATGAAGAACTAGAAGAAATGTTAGAGCAGGACAATTCGGCCGTTTTTACACAAGGTGTAAGTATTTTTCCTTCGAGGAGGTTAGCAGATGTGAATAGCCCGACTCCTATGCTAGTCGAATCGCTTAAAACTATAGACCTTTATTGTATCGATGATAACGGGTAGAGATTTGTAAATTTTGGATTTTTTATAAATACAAAAACCTTGTAATTATATTTTTTTATAAGTACACAGGTTTGTTTAATTTACACATTTTCAATTCACCTGGGCAATCCAATATCATTCTTATTTTCGCTCTTCGAATGTACAGAAGAAGTATATTATCATTGAACATTTCAATAGACTCTCCATACGAGTTGTCGTACATTCAAGGAGTTAAAATAAGAACCAAGATTCGCATCTCGATCCTGTTTGAAAGACATCGTAATGCAAATTAACATTAAGGTGAGTCAATTTCACAAATACTAGCATTAATATGCATTTACTAACTTACAACTAAATTGCCACAACTGGGTAGACATTTCAGAGTTCATATTAATGGTTTTATAATTTCTTATCAAATTTTAGATAATAATGGAAACGCAACAAGCCAAGCAGACGTTAGCCGATATCGAGGCCCGACACGCCGACATTATCAAATTAGAAAATTCAATTAGAGAGCTCCATGATATGTTTATGGACATGGCGATGCTGGTTGAGAATCAGGTAATTCCCTTGTTCGATTTCTATCAATATTACTGTCGAATTGAACTAGCCTCTGGCACGTGTAACAAAGGATGATGAATTTGTCAGCGATATTTAGTCACAAAATCTGGAGCAAACTCATATTAATCAACCAACGATATCTTATTGGTGCTATAAAGTTGAAACTAGGGGCTGCCTTTTGAGCTCTCTTTGTTGTGTTTCTGTAAGAACTTTTTTATTGTTGGTTGGAAAGAATCCTGGCAAGTTTTTGTCCGGCTGTAGAGGGTAATGATATTCCTCAGTAATTTCCACAATGTGCCTTATCGTCTTTCTTGAATATAGTGACGATAGAGTCTCGCAAGTATGTGGGAATTGTTTTTGAATTGAATATTTTGGCAATAAACCTATGTCTAATCTAGTTACTGATTCATTTCCTTCACTGTATTTCAGCCTTTGATGAAGATGTTTCTTGCGAGCTGCATTTGTGTAGTTTTGCCAGATATTGTAAACTTTCCCCTTCCGATCGATGGCGTTCTAAATTTCTTTATTGTTCTCATCAAAGCAATCCTTGTGAGCCTGTTGATTTTTGCCAGACTATCGGCATAGCTGTTTTAAGCATTGACAATCATCATTCAGTAACAGCTGGAAGTTTGTTTTGGTGCCTTCATCTATCAGTTCCTCAATATTTAACTTGTTCCATAGTCTTGGTGGCACTTGTAGAGTCATAACAGATTGGAACATTCTGTGATCAGGCCAGCAATCGTTAGCATGGATTATAGCTCTTGTCACTTTGGTCTTTGGCGCGCACTGTAATGAGATGCCAGTACTTCGATCTTGAATGTTGCCACGTTGTTTTCAGCATATTCCTTTGACGAAATAGGACGAAGTCTCTGCCGACTCTAGCATTGAAGTCACCTAATAAAGTAACTTAGTCTGAGGAATATTTGCTATTCTATCCAGATGATGGGTATTATCATCGTCGGAATTTAGAGTTGGGGCTTATGCACTGATTACAGTGGCTCTTTGGCTGTTCACAAGCTTGAAGGAGAGTTATCTGTATTTTACTTATCCCAGAAAGGAGCTCATCAAGATGCTCGACGAGTTTGTTCTTTATTGCAAAGCTCATTCTCGTCTTTCCTTTCCAGAAGAAATTGTAACCTCCACATGTTCTGTGAGTTGGCCATCGCCTGCACGTCTTGTTCCAATCAGTGCAGCGATCTATCTCTTTGATGAGCTGAGGTGAGGTTCTCTATTGGCCCAAATTGTTTTGTGATAGATCCAACCATGCGCACATGACACAAGTCCATTAAGACCTATTTTAATTTCGACTGACGAGAAATTGTGCTCATCCTTTGTCGCACGCAGTCAATATATTAATTCAAATTAGAATAAGTTTATAAAATCTCAAATAGAAACGGCGTGATGTAGCGTATGAACCAGCAAATAGCACGCTAAATGTACTTGAAATTTAGAAAGTGGAAACAAGTGCAACAAAGTTATGAGCCCAGTTTGCATTTTTTAAATTGAAGTACAATCTGTTTTATGAGAGTTGACCGTCACGTGATTTTCCATTGAGGAATGATAATATCGAATTAACGGCGCGGCGCGTCTTGAAGCTGACGAGTATTTTCTAAGCTACACTTGGTCCATTTTCATAATCATTAGCTGTGTCAGTCAGTTTTATTTCTAATTTGCTCTAGTTTATTTTAATGCTGATTATGAAAGTGGTCCTTAGATCATCTTTGGGAATTCTTTATCATCTCTTTGGCATGAGTGGTACTTAGTACCTGCATGAACAATTTTCAACACTACATACCATTTTTGTAGACTTTGGTTTGTTTCTGTTAGTGTTCTCCAATACCAATTATTATACTAACCGACCGATGAAGGCATCTTTCAATATAACTGTCACAGATTCCGGGTCCAGTAAAACTCACTTTACAAACAGTAACAATCTATATTGAATAAATTGACCCTATAGAAATTCACTTATTACTTATCAAAACGTTCACAACAAATGTCGTTTATATACGACATCGTATTCCGGATTCATCTAGAAGAATTTTTTGTTTCGGGCATAATAAAATTCTCAGAATAAACGCGCTCTAGACGTAAACAACTGGATTCTTGGAATCTGGCTGGATTCTCGATGCACTTCAGTAACAATGCAGAACATACCATCTTCTTACCTAAAAAAATGGAGCCAAAAATCTGAATTAATTGGTTAATCAATACAGTATGGTATAAAAATATCCAATATTGGTAGAAAAGGAGCAATGCCTATTATCAAAGAGAAGACAGTCTTTATATTCCTGTCACTGCTCAAAAAAAAATTGTTTGCTCGAAAAAAATGTTTAGAAAACTCCTTTCACCAATTTTGATATAAGCGAGGTATCATCCATCATCATAGACATTAACTCCATAACAAGAAGGATAAGTAATTTTACAACATGGTTACTTTGACGAGTAGAACCAAAACAAAGTCTATAATAATTTTATGTAGTTGTATCTCAATTTACAATTGAAAGAATTACAAACAAACCCTTTATTAACTCAAATGATTAACAGGAATGCTACCTAACTAACATTTTTCCATTTCCTCTTCGCTATCTAACAGGGTGAAATGATCGATCGTATCGAATTCCACGTAGAGCATGCAGTGGACTACGTCCAAACTGCCACTCAGGACACCAAAAAGGCTCTGCGGTATCAGAGCCGCGCCCGACGGGTGAGTCCTTACCAATTTAGTATTTTAGGTTTTTTGTTTTAGAGTACATTTTGCTTTTTTAATTTTTCTTTGTTTTTTTTTTTTTTTTGTCCTCCCTTATTTTCCCTTTTTCTCCGGATTTGATTTTTTTTTATTCATACAATTTATATTATATAAATGGGCTTATCTTGCACCTATATGTACTTACTAATATTAACTGTTTACTATCTATTGTGCCCTTTGTCACTATTTACATGTGTTTTATTCGGTGTTGTTTGTATATACTCATTGTCTCGCTCTCTCTCTCTGTGTGTTGGTGGTGGTGGTGATATTTTGTATGCTCCCCGCCTGTTCCTTTTTCCCCACTCCCCCGTTTTCGTGAACCCCTTCATAGGGTGAACTTGTGGATCGGATCGAGTATCACGTGGAATCGACACAAAACCATGTGGCCGAAGGACAACAACAATTAGGGCTGGCTCAAGAATATCAGAGTAAGGCGCGGAAGGTAAGATTGTTGTTATCTATTCAAGGCTGTTGGATATAATGATGAATTGTTAGATCCTATCGATGTAATCGGCAGTCAGCTTTGATTGGATGAAATAATCAGCGCTGATTGCTAGAAAAACCAAATGAGAACAAAAACGCTACAATACTTTAATGAAATAGATGTTCAAACAAAAATTCGATCTCAAGTCTATTGAGTAAATTTGTGTTACGTACGTTTGAACATTTATGTAGGTATATCCAGCAACCTAAACGGATATTTCTCCCATTTTTTCCTTCTTCTCGCTACAAATATTTCCTTTTTCTCTCACTGTCATATTTATAAGTTTTTTTTTAATTTGGATCACGGGCCATTCTTCAGAGATTTTCATTTTCATTCATAATTTTTACTAAATCTTGTTTAAAAACAAAAATATGTAGCCCTACAAACTGATCGTTTTGTAGAATTTTAGTTGGATGAGAATGGCTCGTAATTTCTATTATAGCATTGTAGCTTAAAGCCATCACCATTTTTATGTTCTTTGAAAATACGAACGAATACTACACCAGCTTTTCTTGATGGTATTAAAGGATTTTTATGCGGATTTATAAAATTTGAGAGGCAATTTGAACGTCTTGATACCAATAAAACTCATCTTCATGGATCTGGAACAGAGATAATGGGTTGGTTATCGATTTTGGGTCAATTTCGAGTAGTTTATGCCACTGTCACTTTCTGATTATGTGGACTAGGATTCAACGAGGCTCTCATTTTTATTGGACCGGTCATAAATTGTAGCAAACTATTGTATACAGAAATGAATTTATAGATCAGTTCAAGTGTAACTGAGGATATATAGGTATGGTCAATTTTATTTATTTTATGTATTTATTGATGGAAAATCCCATAATAGTATACAGAACATCTATATACAATAATTAGACATTTAGAAAACAAAATTAGTTAAAGCTGAGCATCAAAGGGGGAATGCCATCCGAGTCAGGTCCACGAAAGATCCGTAGCTTACACAGTTCCTCGTGAATAACTAAGATAGAGATTTCAAAGTCATGAATGTGAATGTTACTATCAAAAATACTGTGGCCAATAACACATGCTTCGTCTGAGTATACAGAATGAAAGTATGCACCGAAAAGATTAGCTAGTTAAGCTCCAGTTTTGGTGAATTTACCGTCATAAAACATGTAAGAAAGGAGTTCATAAGTTTGTTGTCTAGCATTGACAGAGTTCCAGAAATGTTTTAGATATTTATCCTTAACCAATGACACCTCTGAGAATGTGATATAATTCGTATAGCAGTCTTACACTGAGCCCAAAGGTGTGAAAATTCAACATAGTCAGCAGGGGAACCCGTCTGCTTCCAAGTTCTGTGGGCACTTTTCTTTTTAATTATTAGGTCCTTTAGTTCAAGGGAGATATTTATGACTTGAGAGCTTCTTCTTTGGTACACAACAATCGATAGCCGTATAGAGAACGTTATAGAAAACTCTGGTCATTTCCGTCACATCAAGACCCCGGAGTAAGTCATCCTAGCGAACCATCTCAAGGTTATCGTTGAAGAGTGTGTTATCAGCAGACCCAAAATCATAATAGTACGCGTCAGGCTGGGGGACGTCAGCATTGCAGTGAGGTGACCTATTGCAGGTGGCAAAAAGTAAAGCAGGATGATGTGCATAGAGGATAATATCATTAGCTAAGAGACAAGTATCCTCGGGGTCCTGGGTGAAAACCGGATCAAGTAGAGTGCTACAAGCATTAGAGAATGCATTTATTTGGAACAGTTTGTGGTAAGCGCTGGATAAGAATTCGGTGACTTCACGCTCTGAGGTTAAGGAAGTCTGAGCAGCAACAGCTGCAGAACTGATATTGTCACTACCTCAGTGAGCCTTGAATAAGTTGAAATCACCGAAAATGCAAATGTATCCGATAAAGTTTCCACTGAGTCCGAAAAATATCTGTTATCCTCGCTTAGGTAAACTACACCAAGCAATAATTTTCTATTCCCCGAATGCACCCTGACGAATAACTATTCAATAGTCCTAGGTGAGTCGCAGATTGAGCTAAAAATACCCCTTTGAATTGCTATTAATACACCTCCATCCCCCTCTGGTGGCAGTACTAGAAGAAGTTGAATGATCACATCTAAAGATGTTATAGTTCTCCATGCCCAGTTCAGCACCATAAAAGTCCTCAGTGAGCCATGTCTCCGTAAAAACCAAAACCTGGTATGAAACTAGGGGAACAGAACTATCCAAAGTATTTAATTTGGTACGCAAACCGCGCACATTCTGATAATAGACTAATATAGAACTATTCAGATTGTTTATAACTCCTGATTGTCGGCTAGGTCCCAGATATCCTGGGCTCCATCGTGTCTGGATATATTGGATTTTCTCTTAAAATTAAATCTGCGAAAGATTACCTTGCTATAGGCCAAAATCCACTACGTTGTAGTAGTCAGGAGTGATGCTAACTTTAAATAAATTTGTTTTCCCTAAAGTTTTAAGTTGGTCAACAATTAAGTTATCCTCACTAACATTGGACAGTTTTTTGGTTATGTACTCATAATTCAGTCTGATGCGTTGCTGGTTTAAATAATGAACGTGATTTGAAAGTGGACTGTATTTTGATATGAATTCGTGAAAAAACATGGAATTTTGAGTAGAACAGCGCTCAGTTGTACTTACCGACATGGACGCTTGTTGCTAACTGAACTCTTCTCGTCTCGTAGACTCCTTCTTCAATGTGAAGGCAATGTTGCCACGTCTTCCAAATGTCTATGTTTAGCGCGGAAGATTTGAATGTTTTTGAATTAATTTATTTACAGTTTGTTTTAACTAAATTATGATTTATTTACAAATAGAACGACATAACACAGTCTGCCTGGTGGATTCTGGGGAAGGTAAAAAGTCAATAAAGCTACTCATAGAAAAAATAATAGAACATTGTACGATTTCTTACATAAAGTCAAAGGTGTGTTGAACCCGGCGAGAAATTAGTTTACGGTAAATGGTTCTGAGTGTAGATAAGCCCCTTCATCATCAAACCAAACTTGTAGGTATCATCCCTCAGCAGTGGCGCTCCAGCAAATATAAGATTGCTTTTGGCGGTCCAGTCCATTGATCTCAAAAATAAATGGATAAACAATCGTACGGCTTGATTGGCTAAACTTGTGCGAAAATTTGTGGTCAATTTTCTACGAACAGTTGTGCAACGGAACAGCCTAACGCCTGCGCAGTGTCTTACTTTCGAACAACTGTTCTAAATTTTGAAATATCCTTCATTTTCATTGGCTATATTTTGCGCACGCACAGTACATGTATCTACTGCGCACGCTCACGGCTGTCCCAGTTGTTTACATTAGGACCTCGTAAATTAGCAGCATTAGAAGCGTTCTTTGTTTATCCATTTATTTTTAAGATCAGTGGTCCAGTCCCATAAAGTCGGTGCTTGGCAATTAATTCCCTATCAAATTCATTGAAGCTGGGGAAGATTACAAAAACTATCCTTGGCCTAGAGACTTCTTTTGCCAGACTCCCCTTTCCGTCTCCGCCACTCTAGAGCCTTATCCAGATATCTCGGGCTTGGCCCCACGATGTGGATTTTGTTTAAAGTTGAACAACCCTTAGCCGATTTTTTCTGAAGTAGGTACAGTAAAACTAGTAAAAGTCTGGGTGTTACAATCTACCCTATGAATAAAAAAGAGCATTTGCTTTTTCTCGCAAAATCTGAAGCAAATGCTTCATCCAGTATGAATAAAAGTTCAAGCAAAACCTTATACTTAAAAGTCGGAAGCAAATGCTCCAGGAAAAAGCAAATACTCTTTTTCTTATGAATAAAAGAGAGTATTTGCTTCAAATTGGGAGCATTTACTCCTTGCAAAATGCATCTGCTCCAGAGCAGATGTATGTTTACTATTTTGGTGAATTATTTCCGAATATTCTTATTTCCCGTTTTTTTGTAGATTGTAGATTGCATTAGCAGTCGTTATATCTTGTTCCGGCTGCTCTAGTGTTCAAGATTTGTAGGCTCCTTCCAAAGGAAGCCGGCTTCCTGGGTGGTAAAGTACTCACCTCTTGGGGTATGAGTAAGGTATTTCAGCCTTTTGCAGAAGTGACCAGGGCATTCACAGACTGTGTCGCAGTCGACTAACGACTCTTCCAATGTCTCTTCTGTTTATTGTCAAGAATCTGTTCAGATCTCAGATATATGAACCTTCTTCATCTGTTGATTTCTTTGGAGACGTGGCTTCTCATTAGTACACAGAAGGCCACTGGGCCTTGAAAAGGTGTTAAAGCGCCTTGCTTCGTGAGAGCCCGCCTCCTCGTTGCCCTCTCCACTTTATTCCTATCAGCCAGTTGTTTAAGGATATTTTTATTCTCCCAAACTAGCTGAAAATTGCACTTGATTGGGTTCTAGAACCTTTAGAGCCACTTGACTGTCGGACAGTATGTAAATGTGCTCTCTTAAAAGGACTCTTTTAAGACAATCTTTGGCACATATGCTTATGGCCAGAACC